GCTGACTGCTGATGGTTGGTTGTAAAAATTGTCTCCCGCCAATGAACATGCCGTGCGAGGCACAAAATGTCAACAGGTAGCGCCATTGTCGTATCGACCCAGCACTCGCGGTCAGCATGAGTAGTTTGCACCAACTTGGGCGCTGCGATCGTCTATGATGATTGATGATGCTCCAATAAAGATAATACCTCGTGGAGAGTCATAGAACTGATTTTTCCTCTCATCGTCTACCACGTTGGTAGGGGCGAACTCGATGACCACGCTTAGTGTTATAAGTGGAGTGGCAAATTTACAGACCATCATAAGGTGGTTCTTGTATTGAACAGGAACCAGCGTATTCGCTGCCTTGGGGAAGAAGAGGTCAGCAACTGGTATTTCCCAGCGGCGGTCTTCTCAGTCTGACCAACAGAATAGTCAGCTATTGTCTAGTCGATGCTTGCCATGGCTAAACAGTCGGGATTCCGCAGATTCGAATATGCGAACCTTGATCCAGTCTGCAAATCGGGTGAGGCCATCTACCTTCCCCTCTCTGACAAACGTATGTCCTCAAATCCCAGCAGTCAGTACCAATCATGTTGTTACAAATGTCCTTCATCTGCATGTCAAATTTCTTTGATTCGATCAACGGGTCAGCAGATATATGTGAGTCATACATCGCAGAGCTAATAGTTTGACCTATTGAGTAGACCAGCAAGGACGCAACCACACCGTCGATTGCACAGTCACATAATGTATGTGTGTGTGTGCTACTTTAGGTCTACTTCATTCTGGTCACGATATTTTGATAATTGGATAATATCCCTATTGATTGTGCCAAAAAGAAACAGAGAGCATTGACTTGTTAAAAAGAATTTAGCACTATTTCTTTCACTCAGACAATATTCTCTTCTAGGTGAATGGAAAGCAAAAGGTAAGAGGAAAAGAAGAGAGAGAAAAAAAACTGGCGCAATGTATGCATATCAGAAATGTATGAGAACTTTGGAGTTAGCTTACCATCGGCTGCGATCATTGCCTATTAAAAGTGCCAAGTTTGTTGCATCATTTCTAACTGCTACTCTACTCACTTCTTCGATAGTTTGAAGTATTTTGTTTGGTAGATGTTCTTTCTTCTCAGCGAATTTCATCTATAAATGTGAAATTATTAATAAACGACAGTCAGAAGCAACAAACAATTCCTTCGTATTTCGAAATCACAAGGACAGGAAGCATCGCTATAAGATTATTTGCATAAATTTCAATTTATCATTTGTATATTTATTTGTCATTTTTTCTCTGTATGCTGCAACACCATTATATTTTGTTCATTATATTTAAGTTTTATTAAATCATTGAAACATTTATAACTCACCATTATTGCATTGGCTGTCGAAATCTTCTTTTACCCGCGGATCCCGCTACGAGACTTAGAAAACGTTAGTGAAACTTATTTTACCACTTTCAACATTTCTATAGTACGGTTCTACCTGCTATGTACCTTTAAGGAAATATTGGTTTGTCTAAGTCATGTAAATCATCATTTGTTAGACGCATATAAGGCACAAGCTAGAGGAGTTTATCTGAAAACTAAGCATAAACAAACAGCAAGACGAAAGTGAGCTATTGTCCGTAAGGGAGCTAGTTGGCATAATACAATGACACGTTTGCAAATATGGATTTACATCGCAAGTTTTCACTTAGCGAATCCGACTCTTTATGCAGAAGTTCGATGATGATCCAATAACACTTCTACTCATCTGTTCGTTGCCCTTCCAAAAATGCTTATAATTTATGGCATAGTATGAGACCCGATGTCAAGTATACGTGCAACATGGATTTATGCCTGGATGCGGAGCTCTGAAACAAACCTGCTACTAATCCATTTGAAGAGAGGAATTATCACATAATAAAATAAAAGAAAACGATGAGGAAATGTAAATAAAACGAAAGAAAGCAAGGAGCACATGGACTAGGATCAAGAAGAAGAAAATGAGAAATAAAAGAGAAGAAGATCAAGAAAAAAGAAAGAAGTTAGAGAAAGCCGTAGATTATTGGTTAAATGAATTTTATGTAGTTAAATGCTTTCCAAGAAATGTGATAGCTGTACATTCCTTCCTTATGGGAGATTATACAATTATGCAAGGAACTTTTAACAAAACATCAAATCTGCTGCGTCAGTTGATAAATTTCTACTGCACATATCAGTAGGTCTAATCCACTGCTTATGGAATCTTCCCTGTCATTTGACCTTAAACTCCCTTCGAGGTAGCATCTGCATGGAAATGCGCTCTCCTGAAACACGATATATGTGAAATGCATTGCTGGTTGTTTTGATGCAAGAATGAATGGGTTATTTCCGATTTACTTCTGCATAGCCAAAAATGTATAACCAAAGTTCGGTGGGATTGCAACGTTGTTTACGTACAAATGAGTAGTTTCCTCACATTTTAGGACATGGGAATCTTTATCACATTGTCAGAGAACGAAATGAACAGAAATCGAATTCACTGTGAGTCAGCCAGTCGGTCGGTCAGACGGCCGGTCGTTCAGTCAGTCAATTCGTGACTAACTGATTAGCTGCATAACTTTTAATTTATTCCAGAACATAAAGCCGGATTACAAATAGCAATACCGATTGAATTCAATTTCTGCTCGTTTCGTGCCCTGCTGGTGACGTGGTCGAATCTTCGTCATTAGCAAATCGGTCAATTGCATATTTTTGGAATTCCAAAACTGTGGAATCAGAGGAACTTATGTGTTGTAAACTCATATCAATTTTGGCGCTGAATTTCCTTCGTATTTTAGAAGATTAGAACGATTACTATTATGCGTATTTCAATTTATACGGATATTTGTTCCAGTATTCTGCCGAAGGTGTTTTAATTAGTGTCCTACTCCTAATAACATCTCTGGGTACTGTATGATATAAGAATGAGCATTTCGTTTGTGAGTTGGTAATCATGTTCAAAACAGCATAAAAAACGGTATATCCATATATAAATCAAAAATATGATTATTCGGATCATTAGCCTAATTACAGACGTTTCGGCAAGTGTTTCACCAGCCATTCTCATGGTGAGTGGGTTTACATCGGAAGTTTATTTCTGTGGTCCGCAGCTGTTGTAACGCTTCAGCCGGTAAGCAAGCGTTTGATCCCTTAGGCACCACCCTCATCCATTTAGTTCAGCAGAGTTCGTATCCCTTGTCGTAAGACTGGACTCAAAGAGAGGATAAAAAACATATTATCCGTTGTCACAGGATAAAGGATTCGAGCCGTACGTGAATTAGACTTGATGCAGCCGAAAACTTCCTAGCAAGCCGCACAGACATAAAACTTGCCTTTCGGCTCCGAAAGTTATAACAGATATCCGTTTGAAAAAGGTCCATGAGGCGCGAGTCCAAACGTCTGTGAAACGGCACCCACTTGATCATATGATTTGCGTTGTGTAGAAATAAACAGCTTTGTATATTGTTGTTTTTCTGTATCATGCTCATATCATCGCTCCCATAAACATGACATCGATGCCCCTCCACCCTTGAGGAATTTAGACATGATCAAAAGTACAAGTTGCGTTACTGGGTGACACATGACAGTAGGCATCGTGGCTATCAGCGTTTTTTCCAAACTTCTGCCAAAGAGGAGTACATTCTTATCGTACACTATGCATGACGGATTTGATTACCGTAATCCATACTGACCATCATCCAGATTCAAGGTGTGATGATGAATATACCATGCCGTGCATTCACCGAACATCGGAGAACAATAATATATAACATCGCATACAAGACGTAAGCTGTACATGCTCCTATTCGAAAATGGGTTTGTGCATATTACCGTTTTATTCTGAACCATTTGTTTGAGCAATGGCAAAGGCACATCGCCAAAGGCTTCCGTCGCTTCCAGCGGAAACTGAGCTGATAGGTTGTCGATGCTGCTCGTCAGGATTCCTTCCGGGCTTTCTAACCTAGCGCCCATAATGCTACTCCAAACACCACCGAAATGTCTCACCGGATTACCGCTTGTGGTAGCTGTTCGTCTCTGGGTCGTACATAAGAAACGGCGCAGTCATGTATGTACACTCGTTTGTGAACTCTACCGATCCTCCCCGATCCGCAATAGTACCAGATATGTACAGAAGTTTCTGGTGAGGTTCCAACGAAGGGGCATCACTCTTGAAATTCAGCAGATATTTGCAATCTTCGGTTGTTATGAGCCTGGGTGCTCTGACCTCCCAGTAAATACCGTTGATCAGAACTGAGCAGTTAGGTAATATCTGTAAAAACGGGAGTCTTACTCTCTTGAACTGTCCAATTCACTCAGTGAGTCAAAATAAACAACAATTGCTTCGACTTGATTATCTTTACCTTCTGAAATTACTGATTGTTCAGGAGGTGTTTTTTGAGTTTATGCAATTTTAACTGCAGAGGGAAGTTTCTTATTGCACTTCACGTGAAATTTCGCAGACTATCAGCCGGATGTGAAAAGCAATCACTCAAACAATCCCTTGCGTAAACAATAACCAGATTAATTTCAGCCATATTTCACTGAGGAAACTCTAGCCTTCGAAATAAACTCCCATACATATGCCGCTTGACTAAATTTGAACGCGGAAGAGAAATAGAAAATGATAAATTTTAAAAGTCAAGAAAAGCATGTAGTCCATTTCACAACTGACAGCGATACCAGAATGCGACTAGTATTGTTGTTGTTCACTGTCATTGAAGGGCAGCAAAGGCTGAACATCAGTGGAGCCTAGATTTGTGATGTTTCGAGGTTCGAAATGGAAGCACCCTCTCAAAGAGGAGTTTCCAGATTTTCTGTCGTCTTTCAGTGCATCTAGTGTCAGAGAAAACTTCGTAACCTCCATCGTCCTTTTGGGCTATTTTATAAAAGACGAGCGCCGGTCCACAGATCTCTTCTTACAGTTTTTGTCAAGACCGACGAGTCACGTGGTCTGAAAAATCAATCAGCAAAGATGAATGTTAACACCTGAGTAGGATGGGTTGGACCTGAAGAGGATCAAAACTCCAAGCCCTTGGTGCTTCGTTAACGAGAGTCCAACTACGGCAAGTTGGTATCTTGCGGCCTCATCAGCAAGCTCATGTTCATTCCCTCTGAGTAAAATGTTCCGATTTCCAACTATAGAAATTATTCTCATGGAGGGTTATCTGATGCACTATAATCATATTGTGTGAACATCTCCTTTTGCACATCAACATGCCTTTCAAATGTGCAAAAGCACTTAAATACCGTGGAACCTTAACCTGTTGAAATGGTTTTCTGATTCGTCTAGAACAAGGAGTAGAAGGTCCTCGCCGTACAAATGCGGTATCAGTAATTGAAATTTATCATTTACCATCTAACCTGAAAGCCTACAATTCCCAATAACTACATCAGAATATCCAGATTATATGTAACTTTTTTTTATATTTGATTTACCTCGAAATAGAGGAAAATTCTGTCGGTCCTTGAACATCAGCTTCTTCGGTCCAACTCATAAATGCGGTTGTTTTCAGTGCTGCGCAGATGGTTAAACACCACGCAGCCGTGACTTTCATAAATGATCGTCGTGGGTTACCAAACACGTGATGCGGTTTCGCCGCGTCGTATCAGTAATTTACCTGTAATATTTACCCACGGAATTGGAAACAAGTCATTCGCGGTAGTCTCACCAGAACTTCGGAATTATGGTTTATCTTATTTTGTTGTCTTAAATGCTAGCTTCAAATGTTGGCTACAAAGTATTTGAACATTGAGTTTTGTATTCCAACCCGATTCTGATTGTATAGAAACTTTAATTGCTTTCTTCTGTCAGTTGCATAATGGCAAGTAATGAGTAATGGATCATATAGGCTGTAAAATAAGATTGCATTCTTTAAAGGTACAGTAATCAATAGTACTTAAAACTGATGCAAGTTTGAGTGATAGATTGGCGCATTGAACTGAATGAGTTTAGACCTTTTAATGGCACAAAAATGGTCACTCTTGTGAAACGAGCAACTCATCGCTAAGCCTTCCTTGTTTGTTGTAGAAGAACTGTGGTACAGACCAAAGGAACAATTTCTCTGTACTTAAGCTAACCTTTGGATGATCTTCGACAGAAGTCTCGTTTGACTACGACTTATTGCATTCTTGTTCCTAATGAAGTTGACAAAAAAATTAAACATTAACAATTAACAGTTTCTTCTTCATAATTAGCGATGATTACTACTGCAAAGTCGCAATAGCAAGATTCGTGTTTCATAAGATTTGTCGTTAAAGCGTTCCAACAATGTCTTTCAGATCTGAGCAGGGACCTTCCAATTGGAAGCTAACAGTCTCTTGGGCACCAAGACATCGGTAATGCGATGTAGTTGCATGGGAACCCTTTGTTGTTTGTGGCCTTCATTTTTTTCGATCTTGGCATAAGGTCTGAGCCACTGCTCATGCTTGCCAGCCATCTTGGATAAAATGTCAGGTGCTGCCCGGTAGAAGTTTTAATCGGTGACCTCTGTTACGGCGGTTTCTCCTCCTCACCATGAAGAGGAACCTCAAGTCGACGAAGAACAAGAAAACTGAACATCGCCAGATTTTTTATCTTCTTCAAAGAAAACAAGATTACAAGCAACAGTTCTTCACGGTTTTGTGTAGATTCATGCATAAAACATGCCCTCGTCGTTTCACAGGTGGCAAAAATAGCAGCGCTTCAGTGTCCTTCATGCCATCGCGCCGTGATTTTGACGGCAGCGACCATGAACATCGAAATACATTCACGTAATGCAATACGACAAAGTTCAATCAAGAACGTAAGAAGAACTCGGAAACTACAATACTAAGACAACATGCCAAGAGGAAAATAAGATAATAGACGATAAATGAGATGTCGCACGAAAGTTTTTCGGTTGAACATCCACAACTAAGATGTGAAACACTAATCTAAGACAAGACGACGTTCTCACAATCACTTTTATTCTTGATTGTTTTTTACCGAGTGGTTGTACCGTAGTCCATTCAGATGAAAACCCAATTTGAAGTACTATCGATATCTCACCAACTTTCATTCAATACCATGGACTTACAGAAAATGAACATTTTGTGAGGCTTTGATTACGGACAGATATAACTGACGAGTCACCTTACATTGATACTGCGGTAATTTAACATGGATAGAATTGATAGTATACCAAGATATACTTCTGGAGTGAACGATATCTTTGATTCTAGTTGCCTAAGGGGATGATTTAAGTCGACAACGGCTCTATGGCATTTGAACACCTGCAGCGCCACAAGCATCTCGCATTTTGTCTGCTAGGTCTACCTGCGCTCATGTCTATGCGCTAGCATATGCCTACCAAATCATCATTTGTGATGAATCTTTGAATGAGTCATTCATTATATGTCATAAACTAATATTTGGCACAATCGACAAGGACTGCACCGGCCACGGTGGTCCACTGTAAGATTCCGCTGGAGGCATACTGTTTCTGACACAGTTGAAGGAACGGCAAATTTTCTGTACAGACAATGATTCACAGATCATACCGTAACAGCACCCTGATTATCGAATATTTATTTCGAAAAAAGCCGTGTCATCCAAAATGTTTTATCTTCTCCAAAGCAATCAGAACTACAAAGTGATTCAGAAATTCGCATCGATGCTTGCCTTACGACACATCCTTATTAATGACAGCCACTGCAACATTTAGGCGTTCTCCATATCATCGCTCCTCGGTCCTGGCCGGTGCCAACCATGAACACTGAAAAAAATTCACATATATGTAAGTTTTCAATGCAGGCACGGTCTCTATTGACACACTATCTACGACAAAGTTAACGAACATATGAAAATCACTTAAGCTTGCAAAACAATATATGATATATAAGTGTATTGTAAGATACTGATCGTAAACAAGCCACTTAACAGAACTTTGCCATAAATGCAATACATTTTCCCTGGAACAGCTCTGAAGAACAAGACCTCATTTCACCACCCTATTACAAACCAGTGTTTCATTCCGCTTGAAACTTACACTGAAGACACAACTTACTTTAGAGAGTACCACAAATGCTTTCAAAAAATAATTCTATTGCTTCAGATTTTGCTGCACT